TATTTATGATGTTTGCAAGGTCATATGATCACCTTTTGTGACCTTCTGACAAGCAAAGTCAATGGGGAAGCCAGATTCACTTAACAACCATGTTGCTAACTTAACCACTGCAGTGATTCACTTAACAAATGTGGCACAAAAGGTCATATAATGGGGCAAAATACACTTAACAAATGTTTCAATTATCAACAAAAAATTGTGCTTAATTGTGGTCTAAGTTGAGGACTACCTGTACTTCTGCATCCTTTTTGTTGAGAAACTGACCAAAAATACTAGGAGGCAATCAAGACATTCTGCACAATTCAATATTTTACTTATCTGGTGCATTAAGCTTCATTCAGATTTTTCTATATATATATATATTTGTGTATGTGTAAGTGTGTAAAATCCAAACTACTCACCAGACATAATAGTCAAGTGTGCTGTAGGAGAACAATTATACTTCTGCCTTTTATCAAGACTTTTTATCTCAGGACTTCATAGTCCTGAGTTTGAAAATCCATTCAAAACTAGATTTACGTTATAATTTTGGGTACATCATTTGTCTCGGAATAAGACCCTCTCAATTCAGAAGGTTTTATCTTTGAGAATGCTTGCACAGGACTGAACTTTTAAATAGTTTAAAACAAAATGTTAGATCCCTCCCTAATAGGAAATCCTTTTGCTGTAAGGGAAGTGAACTGAACAACTTTAATAAGACATCTGTAAATAAGGCTGCCTTGTTTTTTAATGTGCACATTTTTTTATTGACAAACCTGGTGACATTTGAGATGCTGTATACAGCAGATGGGGTCAAAACAGTCAACATCTTACGAGACTGCAAAGCTAAGCAGCTCTCTACACAAATCTAAACAAACAGACGCACAAATTAAACCAAAACAAATCCAAGTAGTTAGATAAACTCACAAGACAGAATGAGTAGTAAACCATGATGCTCAAATGGCAATAATACTAATAAATACCGTAAGATATCTGGCTCTGCAAAGTAAAATATTGAAAAGAAACATCTCTCTTTCCAGTTAAGAAATTAGAAATATAATTTTGCCCTTCAAGTTTAGCTAAAAGTCCAAATTATACATAAACTTGATTTTCATATGCATAAAATTGAAAACAAAAATGCCCTAAAAATAAAAATTAAATTTCTAGCCAAAATGTAAAATACTCAATATGGAAATTTCTATTATTCTTTTTTACTGTTTTTAAAAAAATGTTATTAATCTCCTGCATACAAAGTAGCAATAAAGACCATATTTTTCTCAAAATATCTCATGTAATGTTTATGTAATTTCTGTATCTCTAAACATATTAGACTGCAAAACCGAAAGGTGCTTTTTCCCAAAAGGCAACTGGATTTTCTTGTTCTTTTTCTTTGAAAATGTTTTGCTTATCACCCAAGACAATAAAAGGTTTAGTTGTAGAACTGAAGAAGCTTTTTAAATGAGTAATGAAATCTTTTCACAAATGGGGAGAAAATCCCAAGAAAATCTAATTGCCTTTTAGAAAAAAGCACTTTGGGCAACCATGACCTGGATGATTGAGAATCTCCATAGACATTTAGATTGCAAGACCAATTTTGTGCCTTCGAATCAGGTTTTGACTCCTGGTGATTGCCTACTTGACAAGTACTTTTTGGAAGTGATTTGCCTTTGCCTGCTTCCTAGAGGAGTGTGACTGGCCAAGGTCACCAGGTTGGGCTTGTGCCTGTTGTGGCCCGTTGGCTGCCAGCAGAGCTAGCAGCAGAGTCAGACGAGAAGAAGGTTGAGGGAGAACATGGGCCAGCTTTGGAAGGCTTTGATTAAGGAAACAGCATCAGAGACAGAGACAGCACCTTCCTTCCTCGCCCAGGTGGAGAGGCAGCTGTCTTCCAGGCCTGAGCTGAGTGAGGGGGAGGAACAGATGCGTGTATGGGCAGAGAGTAAAGGAGAGGAGAGCAAAGGAAAACAATAAGCTGGCTCTCAAGGAAAAGTAGACACAGATGCTAGCTAGCCCCTCCCTGGCTGGGAAATAAATAGTAGGGGTTTGGGAGTGGCCGGTTGTCGCAGACAACCGTTCTTTTTTCGAATACAGCAAGCAATTCAGATTTCTTGGTCAGGTCTGTTGGGACTAATTACATTTGATTTTTGTTTATCCACGTGAATAAAAGACTGTTCCTATCCTGTTTGAAAAGGGGTTTGTTTTTACTTGTGAGTAAGTGGCAAATCATTACTTGGTAAGGCTGGGTCAGAACAGTGCCTAAGGCAGAACGAGAGCTCAAGGTCTCCCAGTTTCTAGCCTGATGCCTTAACCATTACACCAAATTGAGTGTCATTTATTTCATTTCATTTTTCTCTACTTGGGTGGTATAAAATTAATAAAATAAAATTTATTTATTTTATTAATTTTTATGCTGCCCATCTACCTAGAAGATGACTCTGGGTGACTTACAAGTAGAAATAATTAAAACATTACACAGATTATAATATTAAAAACTGTAATAAACTGTAACTAAGAAAGCTAAGAGATGGACGGACGGGGATGAGATCTTCTTACCCCGTCAGCCACCTCTAAAGCTCCCCCGCCAGGGCATTACGCCAAGCAGCAAAGCTAGGTTCTAACAACCTTCCAGAAAGCCAGAAAGGAGGGGGCAGTTCTCATAGTAAACCTAGTATTTGTGTATTCCTCAGCTTTCATTTGGAGGGGCTATGAGATCTAAAATTTTAGCTTTCCCCTTTGATTTACTGACTTTGACCTTTCATTTACATCAGAAGTTAATCTTAACAGTTTGCTGTTAAGCATACCGATTGCCTAACTAATAGCTGATATTCTTTTATTTTATATCATCTATTGGGGTATTTTAGAAACAAAGAAGGTAAGGATATGTACACATCATCTTAGAAAGAATTACATATATTTCATTCCATTTCAAGATAAGAATATAGTGGAAATTAAACAGATAGAAAGAAAATACTGATTTTCTACTGCAAATACCTAAGAAATCAATATAGTTTTTGCAAAGCCATAATTTCCAGCTTACTTCATATTTTGGATGCAGTATATTTAACCAAATATTTAAAATCTGTTTCTACCAAAGACAGTTAAATCATGCAATAGTGAAACAGAACAGATATATTAGGTGATGTTTCCATTTCCCCTGAAGCAAGCATATTGGTGCGTTATACCAAATATAAGTTAAAATATGAAACATAAGCTGCCACATCAAAATGACTGCCACATCAAAATGAGGAGAGAGAAATCAAATAAGTTAACCAGCTTATTTTTTAAAAGAAGAGGAAGAAGAAGGAAGGGGAGGAGGAATGCTATAAAACTCTCTAATGAAGAAATTGTACATTTCTGAATTATATGGATATTTTTATTCCCAATTCAATTTTTAGACAGAAATTAAACAAATCAGTACATTCTGCTATGCCATCTGCCAGATAGTTTTAGTTCAACATTGCATTTCCAGACTGTGTATCTTGAAGTCTGAAATCATTACGTTGCTGGCAAGTAAGGTAGCAATACATGTGATTATGAAAGAATTGAGACCAAGAAAGAACAGAAATGAGGAAATGTCTCCTGTTATAAATATGGAACCCGGTTCAACCCTTTAGATGAGCATAGCAGACCACATTTCTAGATATGAACAATGGTGATTTGACAAATGTGAATGAAGTGCTTTTAGAGCCATATCACCTACCTTTAAGAATAATTTCCTATACTGAAACCAAATGGGGGACGTATAGAAAATGTTTATTCCTTTTCCATTTGCCTTTCCCTTCCCTTCCTTTCCTTGACTGCATAAACAGCATGCTAATATTACTAGACAAGTTTTGTATTTCAATTCACTATTATTTTGATCAATTTATAGATGCAATCCTATAGACCTCCTGTGACCAGATAGACCTCCAGTAACTAGAAACAATCCATTCCATGTTCTAATAAGAATTAATAGGAAGGTTTTACCACCATAATATATTTTATTAATGTAATCCATAATTCGATCTACCTGCTGTGACTAGATCTAGTGAGAAACTTGTTTTTATATTTTCTAGGAGAAAGCAGGCATATATCTTTATAATTTGTGATACAACGATAATTTAGCAACAAGCCTGCCCCAGCCTACTTAATTCAGCTCATCGCATCCATCATTATATCTTTAATTATTACGAACTGTAAGGGGGTGAGCCCTTATTAAATCCAGCCATCTCTCTTGTTCCATCTTTCTTGTTTCATTCTTAGCACAAAGCCTGAAATCGATAATAGTGAAACAAACAGCTTGCTCACCCTTGTAATTTAAGTTGGTCATAATAAAAATTGTGCTATTGCTTCTTTGGATTGATGCATTTTTTATTCATTTCATGGTACTAAAATTCTTTAATACCTGATCACCTTTTAATAAAGAGATATATACACACAACATTTCCTGCTTGGACTTTAGATAAAAATGACTAGGCAATATTGTTATTACATATTATTCCAGAGCTGAGAAAAGCCATAAAGAAAAGTTTTTCTCACTCATGTTTTTGCCTTTTTGGAAAGTATTATAGGTCACAAATACACACAAGTAAAATGTACCAATTGCACAAGTACCCATTTTAGATTTCTGATTTCCTGAACCTGCTTCATAAAGTTTTGATTTGTTTTTTATATCTGTTCATCTTAATGGAAGAAATGTCATAAATATTAATTACATGCATATGTTCATTTTTATAATATCTTATTTACTATCCTGAAAACATCTTAGTTTTTGTTTACTTTATCTTACATTAAAAGATTTATTATGCAAGTTCTCTCCCAAGCTTCTAGGGTAAATTTTCCAAGAAAAATAATTTATAATATAAATAACAACACCCTTGAACTTTTATCTCTGAACAAATTTAGATAAAATTATATTATACAACACTTTAAAGAAGATTGCATTCTACAAATCATAAGTAAAGTTCATAAACAAGCACACACACACTTTAAGAACTCATTCCTAAATTGAAACTTTGAAGAAAATGAAATATTTTACTGCTTACTTTTAAAATATTTTGGGTTTCATTCCACTTATTAGTCCACTCTTTGGTAAGTTCTTGCACCTACGAAATAAGCCAAAACAATACATAGATTAAATCCAAATTTGAACTGATTACCAATTATTTTCTGACTGTTTTCCAAAATGTTTCAATTATCCACTCAACATTACTGTAGCATGAGTAATCTCATGGATCTTATTCAGTCCTAATATTTTTAGACAATAACATTAAAATTACTCAATTAAAACAAGAGTCCATTTTTATTTCAACATGGACACTAAAAGTTTTGCTGCAAAATTATTCTTACTACATTAAATTGGAGTTTACAATGTAAATACAGAATTATTTAATAATTATGTTTGCTGGTATTCAGTAATTATGTTTGCTGGTGTTATTTTGAATAAATGATGAAAGCTTATTTCATAGCGTTTATTTATATTTATAGTGAATTCATTTATACCAATCAGTATACATAAATTACTAATTAATATAAATATCTTTTTCTTACTTATGAAAGCACGCAAAACTAAATGCCTGAAGTTAATGGGTTAAGAAACTCTATAGGGGTCTACACCTGGATCATCTTGCTAGGGCTCAGAAACTAAGTGGATTAAAGATGTGCATATATAAGTATTCAGAGATTGCCAGGAGCGGGTGCCAAAGCAGCTGAACAAGCCTGGAAAATGAGAAGGCTATTATCAGTTTGAAAACAGGTCCTTTTTTGTGTTCTTGCAGATACCTTCTCTCAAAGGTTTTGCACAACCCTAATGGTAGATAGTGGTAAGGAAAGCTACCAGAAAATCTCAGAGTTGAAGGTTACACTGGGAAATTGAAAAAGTATCTTGGGAAAGGGAATAGCAAACTACTTCTATATTACTGCCATGAAAATATCAATTCTGATTAAAGCAACATCACAATGTTGTGGCTAAGTTAGAAACCTTTTGTATATGAATATGATGTCATGATAATAATACAAAAGGGATGTTGCTGTTATTTGTTCCCTGTCTGGACATCCACTGAGGACAAACTTAGCTAAAATATTTGTGGGGTTTTGGAAGTACCAGATCAACAATTTTCAGCTAAAACAGTTATTGGCTGATAATATTCTCGATATTTCGACTAAGCTCAATTCAAGTAAATTCCATGGACTATGCTTCCTGGAAATTTGAGAGGCTCAATTGAAGTGTGCATATATATACACACACACACATATTCAGCATATCTGGAGGGCACAAGATTGGAGAAAACTGAGTTGAAGTTATGATGAAATGGATAAACATAAGACACTGAATCAATATCACTCAAATGACATATTAATATTTGATTGAAATGAAAAGTTGAGAAGCTTTGTTTTTGATGAATTCAAATATTATGCTTAACTGCATTGTTTTTCTGTTTGTATTTTTGGCTTTCAAATTATGAACACATTGTTTTGTGTTTTCACTGGATTGAATGGCAACATAAAAATGAGTAAAATAAATAATGAGTAAAATAAAAACAAATGCTTGTAAAAGTGGAATGGGAAAGTTTATAATCTTAGGGGTTAAATTTTAATGGGATTTATCCTGAGAATATAGGTAGGCCTCATTTACTGACAGCCTCATGCAGTGGTCATTCAAAGTTATGATGATGCTGAAAAAATAACCTTGTGAATATGATGTTGATTTTTTACCTTTACAGAGTTTCTCAGTCACATATTCACAATTACAGTCAGTTAGCACAGATTGTCCAATGTCTGATTTTTTTTCCTCCCCCCCCCCCCCCAATTGCTGAGTGAAGAGATTGGAGAGAAGGGGATTAGAAACAGACACACAATGAGAAGTACCCATCAAAAGTGGTGCGATGGAGAACCTATGGCACGTGTGCCACAGCCATCTGTGCAGGCATGTGAGCCCCAGCTAAACTTACTTGCACTGCGCATGCACGCGCCTCCCAGCTGATTTTCGGCCCATTTGAGGCCATTTTCACCCTCCCAGAGGCTCGAAGGAAGCCTCTGCAGCCTCGGGAGGCCGAAAAACAGGCCTTCCGGAAATATCGGAAGTGCCAAAACGGGCCTGTTTTCAGCCTCCCAAGGCTGCAGAGGTTTTCCTCAAGCCTCCAGGAGGGCGAAAATGGCCTCAAACGGGCTGAAAATCAGCTGGGAGGTGTGCGCATGCACAGTGCAGGTAAGGGAGGGGGTGTTGCATATGCACGTGCAGGGGTGCCTGCGCTGCATTGTGGGTGCCGGCACACGCGCGCTTTTGGCACACCACAACAAAAAGTTTCGCCATCACTGGCCTAGCATGCTAGGAATTGGGAGCAAAGGACATTCTAGGAAAACAGTGTATTCCCCATTGTGTGCCTGCTTCCTCTCTTGTAATCACTTCCAGTTCGCACCTATTCGCTAGAACCAGTTGTTAACATTCTAAGCAGTTCAGAGAATCGGTTGTTAGAAGAAATTACTGGCCTAATCCTGTAAGGAAGGCAGGAAGGAAACATTCTGGTGTTGCTTACAGAAACTGCCTTTCCATTAACCCTTATTACGTTCTTGGCAGGACTAGACTTCCTATCCCTGGAACATTTCTGGAGTTTTTTCCCCCTCCTTTGCTGGTACTTTGCTTGTGTGGAGTGACCATTCAAAGTTACAATGGCACTGAAAAAAGTGACTTATGACCATTTTTCACACTTACGACTGTGGCAGCATCCCCACAGTCATGAGAAACCAGGCGAGGAGATGCGTGCCTCGATGTGAGTGATATTGAGTTGGCCACACCCAGCCAATAACATGACCATCAAGCCACATCCACCCAGTCACATGACCACCAAGCCACGCCCACCACCTAAGCCACACCCACAGAACCGGTTGTTAAAAATTTGAATCCCATCCCTGCTAAAGATATAGTTTGACAGGCAATCTCTTCTGTACCTGACCTGTCCTCTCAATGTCCATTCCCCATTGTGTGCCTATTTAGTCTCTTGTAATCTGTCCCTCTTCTATGAATACATATACAAGCATTAATTCCCTTCTTGCTAATTATCCCAGCATTGGGATTCCTTCCCAAAGGGCAAGGAAACAATGAAAGCTGAAGTAAAATTGTAAGCTCAGTTACAATTCCACTTAGAGATTGTGTTGCCAGTCTCAATTGTGGTTGTTAAATGAAGAGTCTGTATATACAGGTAGTCCTCAACATACAACCACGATGGAACTCAAAATTTATGTTGTTAAGTGAGAAATTTGTTAAGTGAATTTTGCCCTATTTTCGACTTTTCTTGCCACATTTTTGTTAAGTGAATTTGGTTTCCCCATTGACTTGGCTTGGCAGAAGGCTGCAAAAGGGGATCATATGACTCTGGGACACTGCAACTGTCATAAATGTAAGTTGTGAAGAATCCGAATGTAAATCATGTGACATGGAGATGCTACAACGGTTGTGTGATAAATAGTCATGTCACTTTTTTCAGTGTCATTGTAATGAACAGTTGTAAATCGAGGATTACCTGCACATAGGTGACACTGTATGGAAGCAAAAATTGGACTTTGAAGAAGCAGGATAGAAAAATACAATTTATACTTTTGAATTATGGTGTTGGGAAAGATCTTGAGAATGCCATGGATAACCAATAAAGCAAACTGAACACAGAATAAATCAATCTAGAGTTCTCATTTGAAGGACAACCAGACTCAAATTATATTTTGGTTACAGTATACAAAGATCCAGCTCCCTTGAGAAATCTATAATGCTGGAAGAGGTGAAAGAAAAAACAAAAGCATAAACCATCATCAAGTTCAGGAATGGGCAATTAATTTTTGCAAGGGACCACATGAGAAACTGGGACAGTTATAGAGGGCCACATCTGCCACCTGCCACCATCCTGCCTGCCACCACCACCCTTGCCACAGCCATGGGCCAGATAGGGACAGACAAAGGGCTGGATGAGGGCCACATGCCATAAAATATCCAGGTCTAATCAAGATGGATGGACTTCATTACATCAGGAATAGGTGCACTTAGGATGCTTGGGGTCCAAGTTGATGACAGATTATCCTTGAGAAGGTTTATTTACATTGAGAGTTCACAATGACTTGTTGGCACATAATCAATTTATATAGACATAGGGACTAGTCTGCAAGTGTTGGTGTTTGAGGCACTGACAAAGTAAAACTTACTCGTGCTTCATTCTGTTGCAATTTTTCTTCCATACTTAAAGCTGTTGGAGAATCCAGAAGTGCAATCTAGTTAAACAGATAACACAAACTATTAGAATAACAATGTTACTGTCCTGAAAATAACTGTACAATTAATCTTTAAATGGGAGAGAAGGAGATGTATATGATGTGCATGATTTTTGTTATAGGCTACTTTTTGAGATGCACTCAAAGCATCTACAGCAGAGTTCCCCAACTTTTCTGGCTTTGCAGGCCGGCTGGAGGGTGGGCAAGTTCCACAGCAGTGGCGGGAAAGTGCATGCATATGCGCTCACCAGCTGCTCACACAAATGGGGATGCATGCACACACACATGCTCACCCACCACTTCTGTGGCCCAGTTCCAAACGGCTCAAGGCTTGATAGTGGGGTGCAGTCTGGGGGTTGGGGATCTACACAATTCTGCATAGTTGTGGAACTGCATATGCACTTACTAATTTTTCTTTCTAAAATGAAATACAATAGCAAGGAAATTAAAGAATGAATTAACTGAACTGATTGGATTATCTAAGGTGGATGTGTCCTTCTGTATGGAACGCAATCCTTATTTTGAAAGCATAATCTATTTGAAACCCCTTCAGTACTTCTGAGGAAAAAATTGTGAACTGATTTTTTTTAAAAGCAAAAGTTCTGAAGTTGTCCATCAACAGTTAGCAACTAGGCAGCGAATTAAACAGACTTATATCAGCAAGACAAAATAATTTGATTACAATTATTTGTCTTAATGGTATTTCATGTTATATACCATCTTGAGGACTCTCTTTAAGTGAAAAAGTGATAAATCAAAATTATATAAATGGCAGGCTAAAATTTAAATGATACAAGAAAAACTTCCAAATTTTTAGTGATGATATCTACTACAATATTTTGTTATCTTGGAATAACAAGCGTAACATACTTAAGTTCCTTTCTTTTTAGAATGGTGTCAAGCCTGTAAAAACAAAGGGGTTTGATGCCCCCTTCCAATGCAATCTTCTACTTGACACCACAATCAGCTTCTGAAGTTTGTACCTATAATACTACAACTTGGATTGAAATGACTGAAAAGGAATAAAGTTCATCTAGTCACAGTTTCTAAAGGATTTCAGTAACTAGATTTCCAAAAATGATTAAATTTTGCTTTACTAATATTCTGCTATGATGTTAAAAATGCAAGTAGCGACAACTTGCTATTGAGAAAATGGACGTGGCCCATATTGTATCTCTCTTTACTCCCTGCTGAATATGCATAGAAACTCTAACATAAAGTTTAGTTCTTTCAATTTCTCTACTAATCACAACATCAATTACTACTTTATAAGAAAATACACTATGTTTTTCAAGCCCAGATCTATAGTATCATCTGGCAAAGCTACTGAGGTATCAGAGACAAAGTTGTAAAGAATTACTGAAATACAGAAGTAAAGAATTACAGAACAGAGAATAGTGATGTTTCAATAAGGAATTATCAAATCAAGATTTGGAACAAGTGCCACTATCATGTAATTTTTTTTTATCTTAAAGAAAGACTTGGTCAAGCTTTTTTTTTTATAGCAGAGAATGACTTTTCCTTGCATGAAAGATCAAGAGCTCATGGCTAAAATTGCTTACCTCAAATGTCAAAGGCAGAGGATCCAAATCTATTCCTTTCCTCTATGCAAAGCACAGACCACAAAACATAAGCCTCAATGTTTAGATTAAAAAAATGTGAGTTATCTATTTCTAAACTGTTTGATGACTAATTAACATATACAGTAATAGATGTATTTTGTGGATTAACCTAACATTCAACATTGCCCTAAATTGTCTCTTATCCACAGGCAAATTTTGTCAAGAAGCATTTAGTCTAGAATTGATCACATTAGTATAATTAATCACATTAGTATAATTTAAAACAGAAAATGCTATTAGAGATTGTGAAATCACTACTATCCCTAACCTGGTTCCCCTGAGCAAGCAGAGTTTTCAGTCTGGCAATTTCAGCTCGCAGTTCACGAATTAGCTTGACGTTTGGATCTTCATTAATGGTAGGTTTGTTGATTATGTTTTTAGCTCGGTTTGCATAGCGAAGGGTGCTCAATGTTTCTCCATAATTGACATCAGCAGGTGATATAGCTGAGAAAAAAGATTTCAAAATTACGTGATATCAATACCAAATTTCACTTAAAAGTCTTAAAAGCTCCTTATGAGTAGAGAAAAAGCAAATGGTTTCTTTTGCTGCTATGGCCAGAATGGCATTTATGAAAAATTATTAGTTGTTATTTTGACACATGGCTCTAATGGGAAGTTTATTATATTTCACTAGCTTGGGACTGACTTCAGATGTCTACGAAAAGATGTGATTTCCTTACAATTTTGTAGGACCTTGAAAATTATTATGAAGAATACGATGACATAAACGGACTTTTCATTATTTGTTCTCTACTTCTATGTAGGCCCACATTAAAGCTTAGACATAAAGGTTATGTTATTAAAAATAATATAACAATATTGTATTTTCAGTACAACTGTTTAATGATCATACTGTATGCCATGCTAGTTAATGTAATCTACAGAAAACTTTTCTAAAATAGAAGAACATTCAAATAAATGAAAACACACTTACTTGCAATCATTATTGTTTTAGAATTTCCTCCTAGGCTATCTTTCAAAAGCCATGTCAACACAGAATCCCTGTAAGGCACAAATACTTGTTTTTTCTTTATAAGAGGGTTTGAGACATCCTGAGATATATCAGCTATGAAAAAAGAAACAAGCCATTTTTATAGAGGGATAGATAATGAGTTAATTCAGTTTTGCAATGAATTAAACATAAAGCAAGGGATATACCTAAGGCAGAAATTACATTTCCCAGAGTAACTAAGGATTTATTTATATTTCCTCCTTCTTTTAATCTGACACCTGTGGCACCAGTGGCATCTGCTCTCTCACTTCCAGCTAAGTCTACCAAATGTATCTTGCTGACAGTCTCGCATGGCATTTCAGTGTCAAACTTAGCCTACGGAAATATAACAAGAACAAAATACAATCAATACTCTGAATATTAAAATACTTGCTTCAAAAAGGCATGTGTAAAATGCCTGGGAATTAACATTTTGAACGTATCCAAATATTTTCATTGACAGCTCTTAAAATAAGAGTTTTCGTTTCCACAGTGAATTCCCGTTCATAAAGATAGACAACATTTCCTCTTGTTGATATAATCAGAATACTTAGACTTTGATTAGACATTCCAACATTTTTTATAGTAAAGAAAACTCTTTCATCAAGATGAGGAGTATTAATACAACATTAACAGTATTCCCCGATTCCAATTGTCTTTCCTAGCATTTGTCCTGCATGGCTCTAGGGCCCGTGTGTTTTACACTTGGCTCACCTAGTTCTTACAAAGGAAATATCAACGCAAGATGCAATGGAGAATGTTAATTTTTATCTGACTTGTAAAGGCTAATGCTTATTAGAATCGAGAAGGACAGTCTGCACTGTGATCACCCAGTTAGCTTCCAGGCTTAAGGGAGGACTAGAACATGGATCTCTCTACTCTTAATATGGCCTCTTAACCACTGCACCATACTGACTCTCATTCCCCATTTCAAATATTAGTCCAATATTTTTTTTAAAAAAACTGTGTAATTAACTGTGTAATTAACAGTAGGATTAAGCAGACAAGCAGACATGTTTAGAGTTAGGGAAAAGGCATGAAAGAAATGCTATCATTCTTCCGTGTTAAAAGTAAAAACTAAAAGAAATTCTCATATCCAGTCACAAATTGTATACATACTATACAGTTTACACATATCAGGGAAGGGTGATTGCCATTTAATTTATTAGAAAGGCAAATATTTTATTTCCTTTGTCTCAAATTAAATGACAATTGAACGAGTTGCAACTCAATAATTCAATGTAAAAAATTTCACCAACATTTTTTTTTTACCTGAGTGAAATTGATTGTGAAAATGGCATGGGATCTGCTGCTAACATCATTCATTCCAGTTGCAGCAGTGGTTCGATTTATATTCCCTCCTTCCATAAGTTCCTCTACATCGCTGTAATTTTGTACTAAGTGTTTTGACAGATCTGAAAAAAAATAAAAAATATAAGTAAGACATTTCGGTATTAATCAAACATAAGACACAAACAGATCTCAAATTAATAATACAACATTTTAAAAGCTGTTGTTAATATTCTTATAATTATTGCAAACAAATACAGAGTTTCCTCTTTTTCTTTCCTACAGTACCAAGTGGAACTGGTAACAAACTTCCTAATGGTTCTTAAACATCAGCAAAAATTTAGAACTTTCTATATCTCTGGTACTCTACTGTTCCCCCCAGCACACACACACTGTAGCTCTATCCCTTCTTGCTTCATCTTCATCTTCATTTTCTCTTTTCTTTTTGCTTGAAGAAAGCCAATCCCTTTATGTAGGTTATCTTAAGTTCAGTATTCTCTTCCTATTAGTACTTCTAATTCAGTGCTACTGTAAGTAGAGAAAACAATGTAATAACTACATGGATGAATATATATACATATACATACATACATACATACACGTATGTATACTGTGTGTGTGTTGTATGTATATGTGTATGTGTGCATGTAGAGGTAGAGACAGAAGAAAGACTGCTGTGAATATAGGGATTCACAACCTTAAATATTGGGATTATCAACCTGAAAAGAAATATGCAAATTTTCTAAACATTTTTTATTCTTAAGGCACTATGACATAAACTGGAAAAGAATATATTACGCCAATTATATTCTAATAAGTGCTCTTCTATCACAACTGCCTAATTTATATGGCAGACTCATCAGTCATTTCCAATCAGTTAATAGAACATCAACTCCAGAAATAAAAAAAAACCCAGCTGAAATTCACCAAGTGATTAGGCCGAAGCTACATACATTTACTATGGATCATAAAGATTTATAACCAAGGCAGATTTTTGCATTCATACATACATGCATGTATCCAATAAATGGAACTGTATTCATTGTTTAAAACCCACCTTCAACATAAGGTCCCTCCTTTGGATGTTCACGAATTCTTAAATTATTTGTTTTTGAAGACTTGCGCCTCAGTAAATCCCTGACATGCTCATTGTAAATTTCCAGGTAACTGAAATAAGAAGTAAATGTTTCAAAGAGGTTAGAAATAAAGATCATAGCATTTTTATATATTAGGGAAAATAACAAAGAATTAGGTAATATGTTGATCGGTTCTCATGGGCAGTATTTAAGAAGGGTAAACAGGTCTACAGTAGATGGAGCAAAACAGTCAGACTATTTATGGACTCTAAACAGAACAGAATTTAAGCAGTGGATGCTTGTTTCATTTTTAAATAAAGGTGTAGAATGGTAACTCAGTTAAAAGATAAATAAATTCAGAAAGCTTTGTTTCATTTATTCTTGCAGCATATGCTGACTGTTGAAAATTCTTCCCTCCCCCTGAATAAATATGTCGTCTTGAACTAATCTTGTAATGAAGAAAAATACAGCAAACAAGGAGAAAGAGATGATATGTTGATGATGATGATGACAAAGTCAAGGAAACTGTTCTGTCCGTATATAGCCATGATATCACTACACAAGCATACCTGACCTCTGTTCGAAAGGAAGCTTCATTCCATCTTGTTTTCTCATTTATTCGTTTGAATAATCCTTCACAGATCCGAGGTATTAAACCAGTATCTCCCTACAAAAAATAATACATGGATATACTGTGAGACAAAAAAGTCACTGATACAAAAAATATTCCATTCAAAAATGGGGAACACTTGCGTTTCAACAAGTCCTTTCAATTTACAATTATTTGTATCTCTCTAAATTGTATTTTGGGTAGTGGGCAGAATTTAGTTTTTTTGTTAGAGGAGGTTGAGCAAAAGAATGAGCAAGTGTCACTTTCCCAAATTCCTTGTCAAGTCCAGAAAATCAGGAGTCCAGGTAGCTCAAATGAATATATATGTTTATTTCAAGCTTAAGCTCTCTACAAAAAACTGAACTAATAATGATAAAAACAAATTGGTGGTAGGTAACAGTCAACATAATTCAAGGTGGGCAGAACTTAGATATCTTGTGGGCCCAAAGGGACTGATGACACATCTGACACCTCCCTTGGACTCAGACTGATCATTCATTATTCCCCATATAGACAATTTGGGGAAGCCAGTATCATTAAATAACTCTTCACATGTCTAGTTAGAAAATGTAAATAAACAAGTTAACTTGTTTAAAATATTTGTACGGCTACCCTGCTCAATCAAAATAACTCTGGGAAGCATATATAAAATTCTACAGAGCCTAACAAAAAGAATATAAAAGCCACATTATGTAAACCAATACACAATAATAAAATGATGATCTAAATAGAAATAACATTCTCATCTAATTGGGGCTCCAAGATATCATATCTCAAAGATTTTGACAGCCTTTCTAAATGCCATCAGGATCAGGGCCAACCATATCTTGGGAGGAAGGATGTCATATAAGATAAAGATCACCACCAAGAAGATGCATCTCCTTAGTCTCACCATATGCTTGTTTCAGTGAGGGGATCTGGAGTGCAGCCTCCCTATAGGAAAGTATGGGGTGGACAATGAAATTGTTGTTGTTTTTTAATTCTTGCTTTTATCTGTGACAGATGTTGATAGAACTCTCTACATGTAAAACATTTGTTAAAGTTATCTGTTTTCTAAAGAAAACAAATTGGGAAATATACACAATTAAAAAGGCATCAACTTATAAGAAGTATATTCTGAAATGAGTAACTTACAGCATTTCCCATCATTGTATAAGACTTCCCAGATCCAGTCTGTCCATAGGCAAAAATACAAGCATTATAACCTTCAAAGGCAGATTGGAGGACATCAATTCCAAGGTTGTTAAATACCTGGGGATCCAAGAATGACAGGAAATAAAATACAATTTCAAAATATAATTTACAGTATGCTTTTCATACATTTCTATAAAGTATTACAATCATTTTAATACAATGAACTGTAAGAACAGTAACTTAGCAAGCATTTATTAGAGATGGTCAGTTCAAATATTTATTTAGAAATATAATTCATATAATTTCCCAAGTGCACAGTAAGCAACATACAGCCTTTTATAATATAATCTTGGATGCTCTTCTTAAGAGTCAGGTCAGGTTCCTTATTTCTTTTTCCTTTTTATTGTTAGATTTACAACTCTCTTGAAAAAAATATTTATTTTTTTAATTATAATAGGGATATGAAAATATTGCAAAGAATATGTCTTAACATTCACAACTTGTCACCCAAGAAGCTTACATGAATATTATACAGGTTAAACTTAAGGTCATTAATGTGGAAGTAACAATTTATGCTTTTGGACTCATGCCCAGGTTAATTATTGATAAAACTGAAACATCTGTTCAAAAACTATAAACATGATTTATCTTCCTTTACATACACAAGGAAAGAAAAATCCAATGCAACACATCAGAATTCTTTTTTTTTTTTAAAGACCACAATAGTTTTTAAGCAAAAGTTTCAAAGCAGTTAACAGACATTTTGTGATAGAATTGCAGGTTTACATGATTTAATACTGCTGGCCAAACAGAACAGAAGATCACAGTGGAAAAAAATGTGTATGTGTGCCTACAAATGGAAATGTATATACCTACAAATGTGCATGGCCAACACATGTAGGTAATTTTGTACATACTAAACAACTGAAATAAGCAGTTTTAAAATGATCTCTCAAACACTCACACAGTAAACATTGGCATTATGTTTTTACTTTGAGTATCATTAATGTCAGCAGCCTACCATTTCCTGAGATGCATAGTTTGAATTTTCAGGATCAGCTGAGAAGTAGGAGAAATCATATGTAAACGTTTTTGTTCGTTCTCTTCCCAAGTCCCCAGTTCCTCCCTCTGGGATCTAATAAGTGGATGAACAAATGAATTACCACTGCATTCTATATTAAGATAATCACTGTACATTTCTTTTTAAAATGTGACGTGAATATGTAGTGAGGGTGAATATGCTAGTGGATATTTTAAATATTTAAAAATACTTCAAGAAAAGCAATTTTCAAAAATTTATCCTCCACTACTCACCTCCTATATTATTAATATATTCATTAATTTTATTCTATAGAGTCCCCACCTGCACTTGTTTATCATGAAGATTGGCAAATTACTCCTACCATTTTCAAGAACACAGCCAAACTCAGATGAATAGAATGAGGTGATTGAGATACATTTCTTTTGAAATTAATGGACTGATTCAATAGATATTCCTGCCTTTTATCTTTTACATTAAGATTACAGAACTAACAGAAGTAAAATAGAAAAAGAAAAAAAGAAAAAGGAGAATTAAATTCCTAATTATTACAATTAGAAAGCCCTTTGAATGGGAGAAAATGAATTTTAAAAAGCATATAAAATTAACATGCCGTATATATTTAGTTGCTTACTAAATCCAGGTTAAATATATTGAAATTCTAATTGAATTGACGAAGATGGGCAAGATGCAATCTGCAAGGAGCAGCTAACTCTATTTTGTGACCATTGACACATATTACCCAGTTTCTCATGAGTTATTGATATGAACCAAAACATAGGATGTGCTAATATCTCTGGATAAACTAACCACAGCTATAACAAAGTACCATCCCCAGATGAAAAGACTCAAGCCTACTTATTTGTTTGATATCCTGGTTATCATAATACCAGCCTTTATGCCTTCCAAACATCAAAGACAAGAAAGAAAGTGTTCAGGAGCCCTTTAGAGTTTGGTATAAAATGCGCAGCAGTATAAGTGTTTTAAATAAACAAACTATTAGTGTATAAAAATTACCACTTCCCTATATCAGGTACTACTAAATTCTTCAAATCTTTTGTTTTTCTTTTATGATAGCAATAGCACTTAGACTTATATACTGCTTCAGTGCTTTACAGTAATCTCTAAGTGGTTTACAGAGTCAGCAACAATTTGGGTCATCATTTTACCGAGCTTGGAAGGATGGAAGGCTGAGTCAACCTTGAGCCAGTGAGAATCGAACTGCCAAACTGCACAATTAGCCTGCAGTACTGCAGTCTAACCACTGCGCCACGACGACTCTCATCCTGATCCTCTGATTTTAAATTCTGATGGTGATTTGTCTGCTACATTTTGTTAAGAAAAGAACCAGAATGACAAACTAAAATAAAAAATGTTTTCATTGTGGTTGAATATACTCACTTTTAAGTTTGTGATTTGTGTTTGATTTTTCTCCATCGAAATAATAAACTTAGCATCCAGCTCTTGTTCCCTGCAGAGTAAAATACTATAGTAAAGTAACATCATGACAACTTTATTATGACCAGACACCAAGCAAACATTTTATCATCTTCAAGTTCACTCAAATATATTGAGGTAGGTATCTGATACAATAGTGTTGATCTTCTAAACAGCACACACTTGTTGCTAAGAAGCCAAAATCGACAATTAGAAGGTAACTTTGGAATTTCAGTCTGCTGTAAAATAACTTATATAAATTCAGATAAATTCTGCGTTCCTCCAGGCAATTTCTTAAAGAGCAGCTGAAGTAGCATAGAAAGACGTGTTCCATAGATTTAATTTCATCTGAATCACATGGGCATAACATTTAATAGAATTTTGCTGAATCTGCTCTCCAAGATTACTGAAGGGAGACCATTACATAAATCATAACATAAATTGTATGAAGCAAATCTGTTCTCCCGTGTCTACTTATTTTACATTTTTTCACTGCATGGCCTCTATGATGTTCCTTAGCATCTCTTGAGAAGTCTTCACTTGCTTTGAAATGCAGTACAATAAGGTCACTGTCTAAATTGAATCGTACTACAGTTCAATAGTTTCTCCAGCTAATCTGTTCTAAGTTCCCCTACTCTTCGTGCCAAAATACAATTCTATCTGCCTTAAGGTTTCTACTCACTTTAACTTCCCTAAAAGATGGGGAAAACATGCTCTCAGAAAATCAAAAAGAGAGGACCAAAGAATGGAATTTGGTTAGAATTCTGTCCATATATCAAAATATTAATATTGAATGTAACACACCACGATATTAAATAAACATGGAGTACCACAGGAAGTACAGGGAGGAGAAATGTGAAAGTGCAAGAGTAGGAAGGGTATATTATTGTTAGTAATGCTGATTATATTAATTTTAGTGAGTATATTATTGTTAGTAATGCTGATTATATTAATTTTAGTGAGGAAGTTCTGGGTAAATTATTTAGATTAACTGTGCTATATATTTATACAAATTATCTGATCTTGATAAAATATATACTTTCTTGAAAGTGGACAAATGGGATTGTCCAGAAATAACGTCATTAGCAATACTATGAGACAGTGAGGAAGAAAGGATCGAGATCAAGCTGTGGCAGGACACAAATAAGGCTGTAATTTGCTTCAAGGTTAAGAGTTTTGTGTTTGCCAGGTTTCATGCAAATAGCTGGAAGGTTCTGAGATAAAGACACCTGTGAGCAAGCACATCTGTCTTCTAGTTCAAGATCTAGGAGGAGCAGCATCGTCAGAGAGAAGAGTTCTCATCTGTTAGTTCATATGTTTTGGTGTGGATTGAAAGTGCTATATGTTCAAGGAGCAACAACTGAAGCTGTGGTAGAAAGCAGGCAATGTGGCTGGAAGGAAGATTCCTGAAGAAAGGAGGAATGTACATCTGAAAACCCAGCAGGAGAAAGCAGCGTTAGAAAGTGAGATTTGCAGAGTAACTGGCTGCAGCGAGTAATAGAGTGGCACTGGAAAATGTATGGAAAAGTGTGGCCAAGGTGCTAGCTTTTTAAGAGGTTCAGGAAAAGCTCTTTTTGCCTCTTTCCCTCTTTTCTCTAGCCAAGAGTGGATAGGGAAAGCACTACTAAGCTAATAGTTAACAAAGCCATGATTAAATTTAGCAGCTATATGAAAATGGAACTCCTAAGTATATTACTTGGCTGAGATCACTGTACACAGAAATATAAACACCATTTACTTTATTTGCCCTGTAACAATAACACATGACTTTGACAGAACACTGTGTATGTCTGCATTAATTCCTGTGTCATTCCTACCCTCTGACACAGACCATCAGATACACAGAAATATGGGGTGGCTGGTGGATGTTCCTTGCTCTGCCTTGTTCTCTTATTAACAATTATGTTTGAGCAAATACAGCATCAGCATAAGCCGTAAGAATGAGGAATGGGAAGAATTTATAGGTAGTCCTTGACTTATAATTGTTTATTTAATGATGGTTCAAAGTTACAGTGGCCTCAGAAAACATGACTTATGCACCATCCTAGAAGTTAGGATCATTGCACCCCACGCCCAGTGATGTGAGTGCAATTCAGATGCTTGGAAAGCACCTTGCATTTACAATGGTTGTAGTGTCTTGTGGTCACAGGAGCACAATTTTTAATTTAACCAGCTGGCTTCTGACAAAAAAGTTCAATTGGAGAAGCTAGAATCCCTTTATGACCACATGATTTGCTTAATGATTGCAATGATTCATCCAATGATAAAAATTAGATCCAGTCACTGCAGGACTTAGCAACCAAAATTCCAGTCCTAACTGTGGTTTAGAACAGGTATCTATGCTCCAGGCATTTGTTTTTTTGTGGCTGTTAAGATATAACAAGTAGGGTCTATGGGGGTATGGACAGGTAGTACAGGGAAATGAAGCAAAAGAAATTAGAGTAATAAAATACAAAGTGACTGTATTCTTTATTGAAAGATGGGCTAGAAAAACATTTGCTGGGCTGCAATGAGTTTTTAAGACAATGGAAGAATAAAACTGCTCAAATATGCTTGGAGCTCAAGTCCAACTGGAAAAGTCCTATGGAGATGATTCAGTCTACTTTTGTGAGATTATCTATACTGAGCTCACCACTCAGCAGCTCTTGATACCATTCATCTGTTATTCCCTGGAATATCTCCAAGGGCTGGGAACAGAAGATACTCTTTTACAAACTCTGCTCTTCCCTGAGGGGAAGTATCCAATTAGTGTTAGTCGAGAGAAGTAGTGTTTTCTTGGTTACAGCCCTCTTTCTTTGGAACAGCGAATTTCCTGAGATCAGAATAGCTCCCACCCTGTTGTAACAGATTTTATGAAATCTGTTATAATCTAACTTTTCAAAATATAGGAGCAGTGATAAGTAGTGTGATCCTGTCATAGTTTCATGGTTGACACTTAGGGTACCAAAGTTTTGTAATTATAATTTGTCGTGTTTATTTTGAATTTTAACATCACTTGTATAAGTGAGGTATATAAACTGCTCAGTCTCTTTGGAATGGAGTGGCATACAAACACTAACGAATATTTTTTAAAAGTGCTGGTCATCCAGATACAAACATAAGTGGAAGAAACCAATTATCTATATCCATTTCACTCTTGCTTTAGGGTGGAAACAGCCCAGAAACTGCTTAGTTGTCCATATCAATCACCATACAGGGAGAGAGAAAGACATGAAGTGTGCTATAGCATTGACTTTCAGAGCTCTTTAACATGACTGATTGTGGCATATGGCTGGAGCAACTAGTGGTATGGAACTGGAAAGACAATATTACCTGGCTTTACCTGCAGGGCTAGAATCAAAAAGTTGTAATGGGAAACTTCTATTTGGAAACTTTGTATTTAAATTAGGGGACTCGCAGATTTTTTTTTATTTGACTTGATATTCAAATCGCTGGAGGTGTTTATCCAGCTGTTGGTTTCACTGATGTCTTAGTGACACTCAAATCCTTTCTACTTGAATAAGGAAAGACTATGTATGTGGTTAAAAGTTGCTTGGAAACATTAATGGAATGGATGGGGTCCAAAAAACACAAGTTGAATCCATATTAGATGGAATAATTGAGTAATTTTGTTTTCAAGCTCTGAGCATTAGGAAAGCTTCCTCTAATAGATGAGAGCACTTTCCTTCCAATAGAACAATTGCATATCTTAAATATTCTCGATTCTTATCTGTTACTAAAGGCAGGGTTGGCCTCAATACTAAAGAAGCCCTATGTTTAGTCTTGGCTAAGGAACCACCTTCAACTCTGTGCTGTATCCTGAAGGCTAAATCCTAGCCTCCAGGATATGTGCCCTGGTAATTATCCTATTAGCTTATTATTATATTCAGTATATAGGACTAGCCTTGAAGATGTTTCAGAAGCTTCAAATGGTGATCAATTCTTAAGGGGGACGTCTAAACAAAATCACAGAACATTAAACACGAAAGCACTCCCTCCATGAAGTTCAATCTATGCATTGATCTTCTTGAGAGATATTACTTGTTGTTCTACCAGAAGGTTTAGCTCACCAGATCCTGAGCAGTGTCTCCTCAGATGATGTTAATAACACTGGACTATTAATGGTTGTTTTTTTTTATTAATTATAGACTTCCATAATTGGAGAGGCAATTTTGGAACTCTCTCCTAAGGGACATTCAGCTAGTTTCTATGCTGTCTTCTGTATAAAAACAAATGAAGATAGGGATGTACAACTATTTCAATCCAAAACAGACAAACGTTGCCAATGCTTCCTTTAAGAAAATGCACTTTTTCCTGCCCTCATTAGAATAAGCGTGCAGGTCTGTTATTTTGAGTAACAGTGATTTGGAAGCAGAATCAGGATACAATTTTTTTTTGCACCTGTCAACACCTCCTTAACTCAAACATGTATTTTTCTGAGACCCTGCAGCTGCTATGTAAGTCAAGGATAAGACAGTTTCTTTAAGGAGAGGCTGCCAAATAAAATGAGCATGCCCACATCCAACTTCTTCTGCTTTGTATTAAAATACTTGCATATCACTAATTACAGACATCCCTGATTACCCAGACATTTTAAGAGCCATCAAGAACTAATATTTTGCTTTTCTGTACAATACAAAAACCACCTCTAATTTTTTTGTGTATTATCTTTAAGCATTCTCTTCTTGTGATGATTTTAAGTCTATTTTGCATTCTCGTAAACTGATCAAAACTCTATTAAAAGGAATGGTATAAAATAAGAAAAATAGTTAATATCTAGAACTGTTTCAAAGAAATCAAGACAACAAAGTCCTTTTCTTTTTTAAAAAAAAAAAATCAAAGCTATAGAAATAACACCTGTCAGTTTTATCAGAAAATCCTCAATATAAGTTTATCTAAGAAGTTACATATGGCATCGCTATGTAGAATTTGCTCAAAGAAATTGACTTTTCACTTGTTGCAACATACATTTCTTTCCATAATAATGTAGGTAGATAAATAATCTGGGGAAAGCAAAAACAATCATGGATTTGAATCTTAATTTCATTCCTCACAAAAATTTCTATCTTCTCTTTCCTTTAGTTCCCTGTGTTCACATTAACCTTTTTAGAAAGTTTTTCAAGATCGGAAGAGAAAAAACATTCAGAGAATTGGATTTGGTCATCTGAGGTGTTTCTAACCTCTTGCAATGCTTTACCTCACATATTTAAGAGAGACTTGATTTTTCAGAGGTTTTGAATGGCTTGCATTGCAGGTAGCTATACAATATGACAGAATTGAAATTTTCTTTTTAAGATTGCTGTTTATAAATTTAAGGAACCAAATCTTGGAAATTATATTGCTTTCTTCATTTTTCATACAGTTATTTTGGTGAAAATTTTTAATAGCCAATTTTTATGTGTCAGGGATCTAATTTTTATTTTGACCTATTTTATACTCCTAAATAATCCTTCAGAAATTCTGAGACTATATTCCTAGGTGTTTTCTTGAGTCTTACTTTCAAACCTTTCTTCAAGGAATAGGAAAAACAGTTTACGGTACTTCATTGTAGTTGACTATCAAGCTGAGTTATAAATGTCTTTCTGCCACAATATAATTTGTTGTACCGAATTCTGTAACCATCAGAATACAACTGCCCAGCTTATAATCAATACTATAATCAATGGGCAAATTCCTCAAGGATATTCCTCCTTGACACGTTATAATAAAGTAGTATTTCAAAAAAAGTTACAAGAAGCAACAAAGCTTCAGGGTTACAATTCCAGTTAATTTTATAATAGATAAATAACTTCCTTTGCCTCCATTACTGACACTGCATTACTAACAAGGCCATAAAGACTAGCCTTGACCTTTTGCTATTGATTAGAAAAGGATAATAAGATACTGGATTGCAATTGAAAAATTAAATGGGTAGAAAACCAACAGACCAAAACCAACAATACACATCCCAAACCCCATTTATCAAAAGTAGTAACAGAGAAAAAATAAATTAATACAAGGTACATCAAAAACTACATGCATAAAATGCATATTTACAAAGTAGGCTTTTTCTAGAAAGAAAAAGCTACGGGAATATTTGCAACCTACTAATATAAAAGGCTGATGCACAAAATATGTTGGTGATACAAAAAAACTAAGAAAGTCAGGGGGGAATTGGGGGCACACAATACTGCAGCATTCCATAATAGTTTCCTTTGATTTGATCCTATTGGCTTTAAGAATACATTTTCTTGGCACTAGTGTAGAATTAACCTGCTATTATTACCCTCTGGGATTTTATTTAAGTGCCAATTGCAGTTTAACCCTTATATTTTCTTTTGAGTCTCTGATTCAAGTACTAAGTAGGTTCTGCTCCCTCATTGGGCATATTCTGTAGATGATCAGCAAAAAAGGTTACCAGACCTTTAGCATACATGTAATCCTTGAGTTACAACCACAACTGAGCCCAAAATTTATGTTGCTAAGTGAAACATTTGTTAAGTGAGTTTGCCTCATTTTATGACTTTTTTGCCACAGTTGTTAAGTGAATCATTGCATTTGTTAAGTTAGTAACATAACTGTTAAGTGATTTTGCTTGTCAGGAAAGGTTGCAAATACTGATCGCATGATCCTGGGACACTGCAACTGTGATAAGTATGTGGCAATTGCCAAGCCTCTGAATTTTGATCACATGACCATGGGGATGCTGCAATGGTTGTAACTGTGAAAAACAGTCATAAGTTCCTTTTTTCAGTGCCATTGTAACTTTGAGCGGTCACTAAATGAAATGTTGTAAATCGGGGACCAACTGTATTAAAACTAGGGATTGAAAATATAAAAATGCAAGGAATAAACCAAGTACATAAAATAATGGTGACTTTAATAAATTCATTTACAGGCAAGTGATAATTATTTAAGAATTACATTAATAGAGGTTCAAATAAGCATCTAAATCTGGCAATTTTTAAAGCAATTATTTCACAATTTGTAGCATCACTTGATATTGTTTCTAATTAGCCTATTGTCCTTATTTTTCTATGACTTAAGATGTCATCAATAGTTCATTAATGTCTTATATCTAATTATTTACGATATTCTTTGATGAAACAGTAAGATGAATTTGAAAGGCTCAATAAATCAGATACTTCTGTTGCTTTTACATATATATAGAAAAGCATGGTTTGCTTAATCTTCATTTATTGAATAGATCACAACATAAAAAAGGATGAGGAAACCTCAAAATCTCAACTGTCTAAAACAAAATCAAGAAGACACATAATTTTTTTTCTCACTGTTCTCATTTGCTTTTCTGAATTTTTATTCACTACAGGAAAATCTCATAGTCAAGAACTATTGTAAACTTTGGAGAGAAAAAAGTGCAATCAAAACAGCTCTATTACTCTACTAGAGTTATCGGTAATTTCACCACAAAAAGATTCTCTTATTTGAGGAATTTGCCTATAAATACAATTTATTCTGGAATACATTGAAACTTTTATGCAAGTATGAGGATTTAAAAAAAAATTCTGACAGTTGGTTCTCCACATAATCCATTATCAAACTGAAATGAATTAAAGGTAGCCAACAAGAAGCAATCAGTTGTTTACTGGTTTTCTGTTATGGGAAAATGAAAGCTAAACAAATATCACAATTACATTTTTGGTGGAATCTTACAAGTATCATGCTTTGCTGAAGTTGTCCTTATACACATTAAAAAAAGCAGTTATCTTCTGAACAGAAAATATTTTAATGGTTAAGAAATATGCCTGGTAGTGTCTTATACAGACAGTCCTCATTCTTATGACTACAACTGAGCCCAGATTTTATGTTTCTAAGTGAGACATTTGTTAAGTGAATCTTGCCCCATTTTAAGACCTTTCTTGCCACACTTGTTAAGCGCATCACGGAAATTGTTATATTAGTCACATGGTTGTTAAAGACAATGAAATCTGTCTTCCCCATTGCCTTTGCTTGTCAGAAGATCACAAAAGGGGAATCACATGACCCCGGGACATTGCAATAGTCATAAACTGACCCAGCTTTCCATCCTTCTGAGGTCAGTAAAATGAGGACCCAAATTATTGGGGGCAATATGCTGACTCTGTAAACCGCTTAGAGAGGCTTGTGAAGCGGTATATAAGTTTAAATGCTATTGCTAAATATGAGTCAGTTGCCAAGCTCCTGAATTTTGATCTCATGACCATGGGGACCACGGCTGTTAAGTGTGAAAAAAAATGGTCACAAGTCCCTTTTTTCAATGCCCTGTCGTAACTTTGAATGGTCCCTGAACAAACCATTGTAAGTCGAAGCCTACCTGTATAAATGTATGCTTTGAAGTCCTGCCCCCTCATCTGTGCCCATGTGAAATCAGACTTTTTTTGAAAAGCCAAACTTTCTTGTGCCTTTACTCTTTACTTATGTAGAAGGGGAAGGGCAGGAAACGATAGCTTTATCCTCCCAAGAAGTAAACACCCATTAAACGCTACAAAAGGAGAACGGGGGCTTCATTTCCACCTGCTCACCGTCAGGCCTCGAGTAGCCTTGTTGTTTATTTGGCTATCCAGTGTCACGCTGGAAGTGCGCCAGTTCAAAGCGGCCAAGCGAAGCAGGCAAACCCATCACCCTCGGAGGTGCTCAGTCCCTGCCGGGCCGCAAGAAAATAAGAAACACCCGCCAAGGCTCTCCTGTCGCGGAGCCTGGAGGAGGAAGAGGAGAGAAGGGGCTCGCTCTCTCACCTGTGGTTTATGGGCCTGACTCGGACAGCCACCTTCACCGAGGCCATGGCGCATGCCCTGGTCGCGAGCGAGGCCCCCCCCTTCGCCTGTTCCCCCGATGGGGAGACCCACTTTCCCCAGAGACGAGCAATTCCCCCGCGGCTCAACGGGTCACATCCCTGCGAGGGCCGAGTGTGTGTGTGCGTGTGGTGTGGGAAGGTCTCTGGCTCTATCTGCCTCCACCTCCCGCTCGACGGCCCGGGATTGGGAGCGGGAACAGGACTGCCCTCCTGGCGCCCAAGGCACGGCGCTGCTGACGCGGCGGCTCCGCTCCGCGGCCGACTTCCCCGCGCAGGGCTGGCGTAAGGATACCGCCGAGGGACAAACGGTGAGCGGACGGATCGCCCGGCCCTCGTCCAAATGGAATTCTTCTCTCCGAGCTAATTCTGATGATTCTAATCCGCCACACATACATATCCACACGGTCAATTTCATCCGTACAGGGGTCAGCCGCAGGCCCCCATGTAAATAAAATGGCTTTTACTTTTTACCACACTTCCCCTTTGAACGGACAAGCTCAGCGAGGGCGCCTTTAAAAGGCACTATTCCCACTATTCCTCTCAAGCAAGCCCGCTACTACAGCAGGCACCACATCGGCGAGAAAGGCAAAAAGCGCTGTTCCAATCGGAGATTCGGTCGGGCTGGGAAGAACAAGATGCCGTTGCGGCTGAGCTGCGCTATTCTCTCAGAAGCCGCCTTACAACGTGCGAAGTGGCCGAACCACCTAACTGGCGCTGCCCAATTTATACTGGTCTCCGGTATACTCCGGGGGAAAAAAACAAAAAACTTTCCCGATTCTTCCTGGGACCTTATGTTTGTGAAAGACGTGCGTTATCTACCCAGTCAACGACCTGATCTTTGTAACCCTGGCTCTGCGAACCATTCGTAAAACATCACTAAGGTCATCCCCAAAGTAGTATAATAGTTGAAACTTTTGTTGTTGTTAAAAAAAAAAAGTGCACGTGGAAATCGGCTTCTTTCAAAAGCGCCACCCGATCTACTCTGCGTAATAATAACTCGGGGGTCCTCATGGACTTAATGGAGTGGGTTTAGAGATGTGTGAAGTAGGTGCCTTTGTATGTGTGTGTGGAATAAGAATATCTTTGTAAACCCAAAAGCATCGTGTGCGTTGTGCACTGTTGATATAAGAATGTGATTTTAAAAAGATTTAAAGATAACCTGGACACTTATTAGAGGTGGTAGGAGTATTGCGCTGCTTTGTTGAACTCAAGAGTTGAAGAATTATAAACCCACTGGGAGCCTCTTATTGGACCAAATGGCATGCCAAGAAATTATGTTTTTTTAATTTGTCAAGCAAGTATTAGATAACAGGTATAAGTATAAACATGGTTGTGAATACATGAAATGGATACGAATAAAAAAGAAGCAATAGGACAGGGACGGTAGGCACATTGGTGCGCTTATCTGTGTTTCATTTTCAAACATAACTCCATGTATCTTATAAGAGTTAACCTACCGAGTACTAGATGTACAAAGCTAGTAGGATAATTAAGCCTTTTTTAGGAAGATGACCTATTATGGCCTATAAAAAAAATAGCAGTGCAATTTTCATTGTGCAATTTATAATGTATTTTTCCACCAGTGCAGCTAATTTTAATCCTGAATTTATTAGTTTTATGGAGCCAAGTTATTTTAATTGGGAAGCTTACTGTGTAAGTAAATGTTCACTTCCTCCATTCCACAATCCCAAATTTTCCAGTTGTGCTGTACTGAACGTTCCCCATCCTCCAGTGATAGGAATTTTAGGAAGAAAGCAAGAGAAGTTTTTATATCTCACTTTATATCAGTTTTTTCAACCTCAGAAACTTTAAAATGTTTGAATTTCAAATCCCAGAATTCTCCAAGTGGCATTTCCTGGTTTGGATTCAGACTCTGCATGCTTCCTTGTGAGTGATTGAAAAGGGAGGAAGGAATACAGTAGTTGCCTACTACATTATTTTCTTTCAAATTATTCCTTGCTTCAAAAGAACAGATTCGGGCTCAGTGTAAATAATTCCATGCCAGGAAGGCAAGGTATTTTTATTTAATCATCTATGATGTAAAATGAATAAATGTTTACATACTTTTGTCAACTGAAAAAAATACTATGATAATAAGATATCGTTATCATAGGTCAGCATTGAGGAAATATTGGTTGGATTTATGTCTTATAGCATGAATTAAAATGGAAAGGGTGTACTGTAAGTTTTTAAAAGCTATAGCTCCTCAACAGAAAATGGGTATTAGAAACAATCAAAAAGTCACAATCTGGCAAAACTAGAGAGAAGAGGCTGGAAAGCAATATATCCAGACAAGTATAGGAAAAGAAAGAGAGAGAGAGAGATTGAGGCTCTTAAGACAGTCATCTTGTGAGTGGACTACTGCAATGTGCTTTACACGGGGTTGCCCTTGAAAACCACCTAGAAATGATACCTGGTTCAAAATGCAGCAAAAGCAGTAATGCACACCTCTCACTGTGCCTATGTTGCTACACAAGTGCACTGCCTGTTGAATGCAATTCAAGGTGCAAGTTATTACCTATAAAGCCCTGTATGACAGAGGACCCAGATATCAGAGACACTGCTTTTCTCCAATAGTTTCTGCCCACCCAGTACATTTCAGCAGAGTGGGTGCACTCCAGGCTGCCTTTATAAAACACTATCATCTTGCAGGACCTAGGAAACATGCCTTCATTGTCATAGCCCCCACCCTCTGGAACAGCATCCCACACAGATAAATACTGTGCCCTCTTCTTCTGGGGCTCTGGAAAGTTTTGGAAACACAGCTTTTGTTCACTGGGTTCTTTTTTGTTGTTGTGCTGACCATTAGATTATTTTAATCTGGCTGTCTATGTGATTCAATGTTTTAGCTGTTTTTATGCTTTCTCTGCCTCCAGAGTCCACTGGAGTTGGGCAGCCAATAAATTCAAATAAATAAGTAAAGCCCATTGAGATAAAAGAACTAGGTGGATTAAAACAGCAAGGTTATTCAGGTTGTTATATCCCTGTGAGTTCCATTCTCAGATGTTCTCATAAGTTCTATTGTATGGGACAACTGATGTAGAAATGTCCTAAAAGACATTCTTTACTGTCAGATGTACAACTCTCAACAATTCTGGATGTCTCATAAAATCAATGAAATTACAACATAGCATCTATAACATCCATAAAATCTAAAAGAGGGCAACTATTACAGCTTGTGAAACAGAGGTCTTATATATGGGTGAACTGAAGGATGCACATGACTGCTCAAACTATAGCATTCTGGACCAATTCTTGGTGGTCTTCAAGGACAGACCCATGTGGGCAGCATTGCAATACTCAAGCCGTGAAATGAAATTAGGGCATTGTGATAATGTGAAAGGCCCTCTGATCTAGGAAAGGGTGCAATAGACACCCTAAATGGAGTTGTGCAAAGGCCTTCCTGGGCACAGCCGACACCTTCTCAAGGAAGAGCTACAAATCTAGGAAGACCCTCAGGTTGTGTACCAACTTTGAAGGGGGAACTACTACCGCAACCAAGGTTAAAGATGGATTATCTCCAGATCTGGGTGGCCCAAATACCGCAATCATATAACAGCAGGATGTTACATGTGTTTTGTCACAGAAATAGAAAAGAAGTAGAAAAATACATTGCTCGATACAGGTAGTCCTCACTTAATAAATATTTGTTTGAAAAGCAACAGCAACACTGAAAAAGTGACATGTATGACCATCAGAGTAATGCCATTTCAATTCAGATGCTTGGCAGTCACATGATTGCAACTCTTGTAGCCAGCTTCCAACAAACAAAGTCAATGGGGTTGCAAGAAATCTGTCACGTGATTTCTAACAATGATCCCAGGTGATTTGTTTAATGTCTGCAACCAGGACTGCCATAACTCTTGTTTTAAGTCTCTGCAGCAGAGGTGGTTTTCAGCAGGTTCTGACCAGTTCTGGAGAACTGGTAGTGGAAATTTTGAGTAGTTCAGAGAACTGGCAAATACCACCTCTGACTAGAGATTTTTCCAGTGTCTTTCCCCTGCCACACCCATCAAGCCACGCCCCTAGAACCGGTAGTAAAAAAAAATTGAATCCCACCACTGCTCTGCAGTTATGTGATGTTTCACTTAATGACCACTTTGTTAAGAATGTAAGTCACCTAACAGTTATTTGGGTTGGAAAAATATAAACTAGGATAGACATTTTAATACTGTAGCTTTAAGAGAATGCTAAAACTATAATTGGGTGTGGTTCCGCAAATGGCCATAAGATGGAGCCAGAAACCTGGGTTGTCTCAGTGAGTATCTGTTTTCTTCTGTTGAAGAGAGTTGCCGTTCCTCCTAAATGACTGTTACTGGTCATTGATGTAAGTCTGTTACTGAACTGTTTTTGATACTGGAGTTTGATATTTGGATTATCCCTGAACTGAACACTGACTGCTTTACCTGTGAATGACTTGGACTACTTATCTTGGACTGTGCTTAAACGCTTATTGGAAGTAAAAACTTACATTTTCTGTACAGTGTATCTGTGTGCTGTGTGTGTATTATTCTTCACTACTCTCACTACGTCTCCCTGTATGTGCTCATTCTCCTAACGGGGATTACCTCACACACTTCGCTTAGCAATGGAGTTGCTGCTCTCAATTAGGGTGGTTAGGTGAGGACTACCTGTAGATAGACAGGAAATGGTGAGAAAGGAGAAGAGAACCTTAAAAGAAATTCAAATAATAACAGAATTGAAGGGATAGGGATAGTGAAAGGTCTGTTTTTACTATGGCTGCCTAGAAATCTCCTAAATCCCTAACAAGGCAATAACTTGTATATTAGATAAATATTAGAGATGACAGAAGATCCTCCTTTTGTGAGGTTAATGACTGGTTGATTGATTCTTTGCTATCAAATCAATATTTTGGAAGCCATATGGATAGACCCTCACATGGATGACATGTCCCCAACCCAGTCCCTCACAGCTTCCAGTGATTCATCCATCATAGCTATAATAGAATCCATCTGTCTTGCTGGATATCAATCATTTGTGCTTTCAGAGACAATGATTGGTTTATTTGTCTGATGATCTCTTTTATTTTTCTTGACCATCCATCCATGGTATTCCCAGAGCGTTCTTTACCATCAAAGTCCATCTTCCATAGGCATACCAATATGGAAGAAGTTGAATAGAACTTGAAAAGAGCTGTGTCTCAGTAACATGCAGAAGAATTCTAACACTGGTGTTAACTGTCTGTCTGTCTTAAAATGTTATTGTGCAA